GAAGAGCTTATGCAGGCAGCGATGAGAAGGAAAGTGGCACTATTTTGGACACACATGCAGGGATGGACAACGACAGGGACATTTAAAGGGTCTTGTTCGTAAAATGGAAGGAACAAGGAATGGCTTGACGAGGATATAAGAGATTCGTGCCAGAAAGATGGTGCACTACTTAGAGCATATTGGCACAAGACAGAGGAAAGTGGAAACAAATGATGAAATGTGCAGTGCTTGTACCATGGCTGGTGATGATGATGATGCCGCCCGAGAAGATGTTGCAGGAGATTATCTCACGCACGTGGTCGCATGGCAGTGTACTTCACTAATTTTAAGAGGGGGGCCACTTTCGCAGATAATACATCATCAGTGTGAGTGGGGCTGCCACACATTTGGGACCAGTGGGGATTTGACAGCAGCACGATTATGACGATGGGGGGGTGTTATTTCACCACTTGAATCATTTGGCGGGACCCCGGAGTCTCGCAAAAATCAGGTCAATTATTATTATTTTTCAGTCGTGATCCCGACAGCGACGCGCGGCCCGCCCAGACTCGCGCCAACAAGCGCCAGCAGCAGCAGCAGCAGGCGGCGATCAACACGATGGGCGCCACCCCACCGGCCAAACGCAAGCCCCGGGGGGCGTCCGCCGCAGTCGCGCGCGGCGACGACGCCCTCCGGTCGGCCGTCGACTTTACCGAAAGAACCAAGAAGATGAATCCCCGCAGTCACGAAAGCTTTAAATAGAAATGTAAGATCCTCAGCTTCTTTGCCAAGGCGAGCCCGCCGCCCCCGCAGGCAGTGAATGTAACGTGTTTATGTAATTTTTCAACTTTTTACGAAACTTAGTGTCCCCGAGTAGCTCTCGACCAATCGATTGACCACTAGTTTTGTTGCTGTCGGTAAGGCGACAAGACTCGTGTCGCTACGCGGTTTTTCCCACCCCGGGGCAGTGACGGGACCCCGGGGTCCCGCCAATTGCTTCATTTGTGTATTGTCAGGGGGGGGGCGCATGTACAGGGTGCCGCACTAAAGGCCACCAGGGGCCACCAGTGGCCTGCGGGGCCTTGCAATGAAGAGGACCGGGTGACGGCATGGCACGACCGCGTGGGACAGCGGTGACACGAGGAGGCCTCTATCCGGCTGTGGACAGAGATGGCGGGCGGTGGGCGAATGCCGACGACGGACAGCGGCAGCCGGAGAAAGCGAGCGAGAGAGGACGTTCGCCGGCGGAGATGGAGCGATGAAATCAGCTCGCGTGAATGAATGAACGAACGAATGAGCGGGATGAGTCGCCGGCACCTCCTCCGGATCAGCACGGTTGGCTACGTACGGTGCGAAAGAAGCTCAACATGCACACAGACCGTGGGAGATGGCAATGGCTTGGGAAGGTCTTAATCCCGCAGTGGATAGAGCATGATCGATTATGGGGGGCGGAGGGGGTTCTGTGGTAAACACGCATCAGTTGATGGGCCAAGAGCAACGCAAGAAACGCGTGTGTGTGGCTGTCCGAATTTTGATGCTCCCTCTTCGGTTTTTCTGAAAACATTTTATTCATGTATCGACTGTACGTAACACCACGTTGCAGTTATGTTATTTGGCAGCGTTACTGCGTGACTGCAAAACCGCGTGCACGTTTTCCAAATACCTTCTTATTCTGGCATTATTTTTTTTTTAAACTTAAGGAGCTCGTTATTATAAAAGTTCAAATGAACGCAGTCATTGGGGCATACCTCTGGCTGTCGCCTGATGATGCTGGTTGCAATTACCGGCGACACGTCGTACTCTAATTGTAAATGTTGTGGGTTTACTCTCAAACACGCCCGTGTGCTGAACTAGTAAAGAATTGGTATGTTTGTTTACGTGACAGATCTTACTAATTGGCTGTCGGGTGGTGGCGGGTTTAACGACATTAATATATGGGGCCATCATTAAATGACGTCACGCGATTTTGGACGATTTTTGACCCCCCCCCCCTCCCCCCCGAGTTACACGGCGTCACAAAAACTCAGATCCCCCCTTCAAATATGACGTCACAAAGCTCTGCCCCCCCACAATTTTTTTTACATGCTTCAAATCGCTTTAAACTATTGTCATTGTAGTGCGTATTTAATGTGGCGCTGCACTCTGATGTTATAGGAGAAAACATTTATTAAAAAGTATATTTAATTAACTAGAACGTGTTGTCTATATTTATTTAAAGTTGCGCATTTTGATGTGAGGTCACATTTCTCAAACCCCCCCCCTCCCTCGTCACACATCGTCACAAATGTCTAACCACCCCCCCCCCTAGGTGCGTGACGTCATTTATGGACAGGCCCCTATATGCGATCTAACCCAAAAAAAACTCTATTATGGATTGGGGCATACCATTCGCATTTCCAATGGCGGAAGATAACGGAAAAGTTATGAGACGTGTCTTTAAAAAAAAAAATTCGGGTCAACGATCACTTTTTTTTATTGCCTCGGGACCCTGCCCTTACATTTCATCCGCCTTGTCATGCTGCGGTCAATCAGAATAAACAACGCGGCACCAGAGAGGCCCCCCCCCCCCCCCCCCCCCGTCAACTTGTTGATAAGGGAACCTTAAGTGAATTAAACCGCTCCCAATAAATTCCGTGTCAACGTCCCCCCCCTCCTCCCCCGAAGCGCGCGGGGGGACGTTTTAAGAAATTGCGGCCACGGAAGGCCTCCGTATAAATTACGAATCGGAAAGGGGACTTTGAAAAAAATGTGTGAACACGCGGACTCAATTTTCATCGTGGCCTCGCGGTTTAAGATGCGATTTTCAAACGTGCTGCGTGCGAGATCCATCGCTCGTGAGACGAAGGATAATGTAAAACATAATCAGCGTCATCGTCATCACCACTATAATCGAGTTTTTTTTGGGTTAGATCGCGTAAATATATAAACGTGTCAATAAAAAAACACGTCACCACCCGACACGGCCAATTGGTAATGTTTGTCACGTAAGCAAAACATGGCAATTCGTTACGAGTACAGCACAACACCCGGTGCGTTGGAGGGTAAACCCACAACATTTACAATTCGAGTCCGACGTTTTGCCAGTGATTACAACCAGCATCGTCAGGTGACGGCCAGAGGCGACAACTGATCCACCCGTTGCACGAAGTCCTTCCAAAGCCTTCGCCGTCTATCACTGTCCCGTGAAGCGGCAATCGACACCGAGCGCCTGCGAAACGCTGGGAGGGGCTGGTGCCAGGCGATTTTAGGAAAGGTTTCTCTACCATCAGCATTTGGAAACGTGCAACATTTCAAACGTGCAGGTTTGTGGAATGCTGTGGGTAACGGTGGATTATGCACACATATTTTCTTGGAATGCTCTAGGCTGATCCCATATATGTAGTTGATTTCCCGTGGCCTGTAACACAAACAAACCACCTGACATTCTGACAAATGTTAATTTCAGTCATATTTTTGGCGTAAACGTGCCGAATATATCTATCTTTCGCCATCGGTGGAAATAACCACCCAGGTGATGCATTCGACCATTTGACCAAGACGAGAATGCATTTATTTCGAAGGCAGACATTAGCTTGCACGACGTCAAATAACGAGTGGTTGTTCGTGAATTAATTTAACGGTGGCTTTTTGTTTGTTGTTGCAAACGGTTAATTGCTATTTGAGTGATGTCCTGGAAACCCCCCTCCCCCCCCCCCCCAAATAACCGACGAAGTAATAATAATAATTGTCTACAGGCTACAGTATTGTTTATTGAGGGGGTCGGGGGTTGGGTGGTATCTTAGATGTAAGTGGATTGAAGATGGCCAATAAGTTAATTAGTTGAACACGCAGTAGCCTTTCGCGACCAATATTATCCATGAGAGGTTTCTGTTTGGGTTAGATCGCGTAAATAAAAATGTGTCGTTAAACCCGTCACCACCCTACAGAACCAATGAATTAAGGTTTATCACGTAAACAAAACCTGCCAGTTCGTTACGAGTTCAGCACACCGGTGTGTTGGAGAGTAAACCCACAACATTGATTAATTTACAACTGTGGCTTGTCACGTAAACAAATCATGCCAATTCGTTACTTTTAAATTGTAGATGTTGTGGGTTCACTCTCCAACACACTGGGTGTGTGCTGAACTAGTAACGAATTGGCACGTTTCGTTCACGTGGCAAACCTTACTGATTAGCCGTGTCGGGGTGGCGGCGGGTTCAACGACACATTTATATATTTACGCGATCTATGAATAATAAGTTCATTGTGTGGGCCAGCTGCGGTGGGTGGGGGAAGGTTCATTATACAAAAAACATCAATCAACTCGGGTGTCAACGCCGCATTGAGTCGGGTCCACCTCATTGAAAGAACACGACTATTAAGTTGGCCACGTGCAGAGTTACCAAGTTTATTTTTCCCCTTCTTAATGTGAAGCACAAAGATCCCCCGTCCCCGTACATCATATACCAGACGTTTGGGGCAAGTGATCTTTAGCGAGTAGCAACTATGAAGGCCGGCACGGCACGCTAAGGGGTGGGTGGCCAACACCACGCCCGGCCGCCTTTGTCTCCCTCGTGGCCAATGTTTACTACACCATCGCACCAGGTACTCATTTGAGGCTGAGTCGACCTAGGGGTGGCCCAGGACCGGTTCAGACAATCGTCACTGGCGTTGACCGTGAGAGCGAGAATCGAACCCTGGTTGCCGGGCTCGTATAGCGCAGCGCACTAACCGCCACACTGCCACCGCCGCCCACTAATTTCAAGCTCAATAAAAACAATGACAAAGATCCCCCGTATAGCCTTAACGGGACTATAGGGTTGGTGGGGAGGGGGGGAAGGCAAGTGCTGTTAGCGAGCACCTATGAAGGCCAATTCATTTCGAGCAAACGCGCGCACCCACGCGCGCACCCAGACCCTCTTCAACACCGTCGCAGAGCCGACCGGGGATGCGCGCGGGGGTCGGAAGGAGATTAATGCGGTGTGAGGTGGTGGGGCGGTGTGAGCAGGGGGTTAGGCCACAACGCACACGCAACCCACCTTTGACCCTCTCGCCTTTATTCAGCTGGATCTCTCCGTCTCCGAGGGGAGCGTACGACTTGACCGCGATGAAGGCGCGACCCGGCACGGCGCTGTAGAGCTTCCTCTTGGGAGCCCCCTGCAACAGCAGCAGGGAGCCCGGGCTGATCGCGCCTCCCAGCGACGCGGCGAGGCCGCTCTTGCGGGACATGACGCTGGCGCTGAGCCGTTCGTGGTGGCGTCGGTGGAGGAGGAGGAGGTCGCCGCCGACGACGCCGTGATGGTTGTTGTTGTTGTTGTGGTGTTGTTGTTGGTGGTGTTGTTGGAGGAGAAGAGTTGCGGCGGCGGTGGTGGGGTCGTCCCGTTGTCGGGACGGTCCCGCGGTGTGCACGGGAGGAGGGGGCACAAACACATAGGTCGTCACGAGGCCGCGGCCGCGAGAAGCGCTCATTCCACATTCCCGTAAGGACGTCCGCTTTGACGGCGCCGGCGGCGGCTGCTGCGCCGACTTTGGCATCGCGTGTGGCTGCCATGTGGCCGAGTACGAAACGGATTTGAGGATCGAGCGCCTCTTTACGGCCGACGCGGACGCGATCGCGGACAGGGACTTGGACTTGGCGGCGGACGCGGCGAGCGACTGCGCGGACAGAGACTCGGGGGGCGGCAGGGAGACGTGCTTGCGCGACGGAGGCTTCGTCAGCTGCTTGGCTATGGCCTGCGAGAAGGACGACTTGAGAACGACGCCCGACGAGGGGAATGACGAAGACGCCGCCGCCGCCGCCGCGGTCGACGATGATGATGATGGTGGCGGTGGCGATGTCGTCGTAATCGTCTGAATGGCTACGGAGGATGACAGCTCCCTTGACGAGCGATACATGGGTTCCAGTACAGATGACAGAAACAGCAACATCCACCGCAGTTTCGGAAAGCAGCATCGCTTTCTCCTCTCGTTTCTTAAACCTCCCCCCCACCCTCCACCCCGCGCAACTCTTATCTATTTAACAAAAAATATATTATTATTATTCTTTTTTAAGCCGAGCAGACGGACTAAGTAAATCGCCGGGAGGTATGGGTGCTACTATTCTTCTTCTTCTTCTACACCGAAGAGCGCATCGGTGTATGGCAATGATGTCGTTGATTATAATAACAACAAATGTTATACCGATTACAATAATATCGACAGCTGCCGTGCGAATGTCGCTTTGCTCGCTACTGGAGTTGGGGGTGGCGGGGGGGAGGAACGAATCCCGTGGCTATCCGGAGGCTCGGGGTATCCACGGAGCCGAATTCTCGCCGCTCGCCGCTCCTCTCTCACGCACTCCGCGCTCGAGCGAGGAGCGGGGAGAGAGGCGATGGGGTGAGCGAGGAAAGGGGGGGGTTGAGACGGGGAGAGATGGTGGTGTGGTGTGTGTGGGGGAGAGAGAAGGAAGGAGAGGATGAGAGCAAGTGGCAGGAGGCCCCCCCCCGTGCGGTGAGCAAGGAGGTTGTAGGCGGGGTGAGGTTTCGCACGGGGGACACGGATTTGCATCTCGATCCGCGGCACGCACGCAGATTTACTGCTGCGCGTGGCGTGGGCCGCCTCTTCTGTGACGCTCACCCCCCTCCCCCCCACCACCAATCCCTCTGTGTGTGTGTGTAGTACAAAGACAAAGAGCCCCCGTGTAGCCTTAGCGGACTGTTGGGGGCAAGTGCTGTTAGCGAGTAGCACCTGTGAAGGCCGGCACTGTGGCACACGAGGGGGTGGGTGGCGTGTACACACACACACACTGGCGTACACACACACACACATGCTCACAAGCGTACACACACTGGGGCGTGCACACACACACACACTCTGGTGTACACACACACATGCTCACAAGCGTACACACACTGGGGCGTGCACACACACACACACTCTGGCGTGCACGCACACACTCTGGCGTGTATACACACACACTCTGGTGTACACACACACATGCTCACAGACGTACACACACTCTGGCGTGCACACACGCACTCTGGCGTGTACACACACACTCTGGTGCACACACACACATGCTCACAGGCGTACACACACTGGCGTGCACACACACACTCTGGCGTGTATACACACACACTGGTGTACACACACACATGCTCACAGGCGTACACACACTCTGGCGTGCTAACACTGCCGTGTACACACACACTGGTGTGTACACACACACACACAGACACTCTGGCGTGTACACACACACACGTGCAAGGAGGATACGGAGCGGTGGAATCACGAGGCGCTTCGCGCGACCTCAGGCGCGATGCGCGTGTGAGCGCTGCTGCTGCTGTTGCGTGCGGCTGTCTGTGTGCTTGGCCGGGGAGCGGTAGTGCAGTGGTTTTAGCGCACAGCGAAACCCGGCGGAGACCTGAGCGAGTTCGATTCGCGCTCACGACCATCACCAGCGACGAATATCTGAACCTCGCCTTGGGCCTCGCCTAGGTCGACTCGGCCTTTAATAGTAGCCGGTGTGGTGTGTAAAACGTCAGAGCTGGGGGTGGTGGGGGTGGGGGGAGACAAAGGCGGTGAGGGCTTTCGTGTCGGCCACTCCACAACATCTCGTGTGCCCGCTCCGGCCCTGAACGCGTGCGATCGGCAAACGGCACTTGCCCCAACAGTCTGGCGAAGGCTATGCGGCGGGGGGTATCTTTGTCTTTGCGGTGTTGCGTGTGTGCGTGGCTGCGAATGAGTGAGCGATGGGGGGTTGCGAGCTGCATGGGAATGGAGGCTAAATCGCGACACACCGAGGATGAACAATGCGGGGTCAATGTACCCGCGCGCTTCATGGGAAATGCGGCGTTAAAACCGCGTCCCATTCACATCCAAGCGTTGCCAATTGCAACGCGCATTGAGGATGTGGTCGATGTATATTTTTTTTTTACATGTTGGTAAACAGCGGTGGGTTCTTAACCTAGGCTGCACGCCACCCCAGATACCCTTTCTGGGAGCGCGAGATATGGGCCAGATTATTTTAGAAGGTGAATAATCGAAGTAATCACAGGCAAGTAAGTACAAATATTGTTTTCATCAAACCCCGATGTATTTATTAACATTATACGTTTGGGTAACGACTCAGAACCAAAGGGGTGCAGGCTGCAGTAAAGGTTAAGACTCACTGCACTTTCCACTACACTACACTACTATACACTACACTATACACTACGCTATATAATACACTACTATACACGACACTTTCCACTACACTACCATACACTACACTATACACTACACTATACACTACACTACTATACACGACACTATACACTATGCTATATAATACACTACTATACACTACACTATACACTACACTATACACTACGCTATAGAATAAACCAGTGGTTCTTCTTCTTAACCTGGGGGGTGCACGACACCCCCTGGGCGTGCGAGATGCCCTTTCTGGGGGCGCGAGAGGTGGCCAGATTTTTTTTAAGGTGATTAATCAAAAACACAAATTGAGCACGGGCACGTGAGTACAATTTACTTTGTTTCATCAAACCCCTATGTATTTATTAACATTTATAAAGAAAACATTTTAACTATTGAGAATCAAAGGGGTGCAAAGGCTGCAGTAAAGATGAAGAACCATGGGTAAAGAGAGTGACAGTCGGTCACATTTTTCTGGAATGTTTTTGTTTATATGGTGACCCGAAAATAACAGGAGCGCAATTTGCCACTTCTTCAGGATTTTTTTTGCTGATGGTTTTTGTTGTTGTTTGCAGAACGCACAGAGGCTGCTGTGTTCTTTTTGTTACCAGCACGTCTGACGTGTTGCTGTTGGTGTTCGAAACGTACGGCTTTCCGGCCTGCACTGTTATGTTGTGACGATGATGTTGTTTGTTGTAGTTTACATATTTGGGGTTGAGATTGCCTGGTTTGGAGTCCTTCGTGTAAAGGTGAAAGTCGATGCTGATGGTACTGCCCAGTCAACATGGATTGTTGGGTCAAACGTTGGGCCAACGCTGTATGATCGACGGTTCCAACCAGCGCGAGCCCAACGTTCCATTGCTTAGTGGGTTCTTGTGATGCCACGAACTAGCGGAACCTGCCTTCAGCAAATAACGAATCAGGTCTGAAAAATAAGACTCGGTTTTACCCTTTTCTGGGAAATAAAAGAGCAGGCGTTAAGATTATTATAATGCCAAACAGATAGCTTCTTGTTGCGAGCAATCATGCACTGCATTAATCGCACGTGCTTATGGTGAGCATGCAAACAAAACCTATTCTTAATTTTCATACTTTGATATTGGCAAAAAGGTCCTAATGATACGAATGAGGTCACTCACACACCCAGCGGGTAGTGGGGAGCGGTGGTGCAGTGGTTGGCGCACTGCGCGACGAACCCGGCGACCCGCGTTCGATTCCCGCTCACAGCACCAGTAACCAGCGAATATTTTAAGCGGTTCCAGAGCCTCCCCCTAGGTCGACTCAGCCTTAAACGAGCAACCTGGTGCGGTGCGTAAAACATCGAGCATTTGGCGAGAGACAAAGGCGGCCGGGCGTGGTGTTTGGCCAGAGCACTTGCCCCGACAGTCCGCCGAAGGCTACATGGGGGAGATTTGTCAACGCTGCAGCGAGTGGTTGAGCACGCGTGCGGGAACCACGTACGTTGATAATCGGAGGGGGGTGGGGGTGGGGGCGCTTCACGTGCGCGGTCTTTGGAGCGGGTGAGAGGTGATGGCAAACGTGACGAGAGTGCGTGATGTCTCGTTCTTTTTCTTCATTTAACTCCTCCCCCCCCCATCTCTTCCCTCCCTCTTCCACCCCCCCTCTTCTTCCCCCTCTTCCCCTCTCAGCCTCTTCTCCCCACCTGCACCCCCTCTTCCCCCCATCCCCTCCCACCCCCCACTTCTCCTCCCTCCCTCTCCCCCCCTTCCCCCCTTCTTTCCTCCCCCCTCTGCCCCCCTCTCCTCATCCCCCCCCCCTCTCCTGCCCCCTCTCTCCCCCCCGACGAACCAATGGGCGCAGTTCGCCCCATGCGTGCGTTGTCGTCTGTTGTTGTTGCTGAGCGGGTCCATCAAGGTTTGGGGAGGCGTCTTAGTCTGGTCCGATGTCGTCGTTGTTGTTGTTGTTGCCCGGAATTTTGTTGTTGTTGACATAACGTGGCTACAGTACAGTTCTCTCTCTGTCTGCGCTCGTCGCAAATCAACGTAAGTGCTTTTGTGTTCTGTGCGTGTGTGCAATGCCTATAGGTTAGTGTATGTGCGG